CCACACGCACCGAAAGGCAGAGTGAAAACAATTGGAGGCACGTTGTGTTGTTTGTGCACAACAGACTCACACGTGAACAATACGGAACTTTTTTCACACTGACAATAATGAGAACGAGACAGAATCGGCAACATGGGTCTCAGGATGTTCTGACCCGATCCAAGTCCAACTACTGTCCCAAGTTTCAACTAAAATTTTTCAAGGGACAAGCATCAAAACTCAAAGAATCCCCACAAAACAATTGCCAGAATGCGTTCATCACTAGTGTGAGTTTGAACGTTCTGTTTTCTTACCGTGATCCTGATGCCGTGCCACAGTTGTGCCACGGCTGTGTATATGTCCTACTTCTCTGGTCATTATGGTTTTAAGCTCCCATAGACGTCCAGTTCCTCTGTCTCCTCTCTTCACATCGCGTTTGCAAAACTTCCTCTGTGCAGCGCGCAGGTGTAGTAGCTTCAGTCAAAATGACAGTTCTGGGAGTTCTTGTAGTTTCACAATTCTGGTAGTCCAGTCCAATTATGACTTTGCTCCTGTATGACAGAGCTGTTATATTTTATTATTCTTGTCAGTTCAGTGAGATCCAATGTGCCCAGGTCTCCAGAATACGTCATAAACAACGTCCTATAACCGCTTTAACAAGACAACTTTTGAGGTTGTGTGGTTAATTCAGAGAACTACTGCGGTCTTCAGTCCTGCTCCTGCCACACAGCGCTGAGTCTGTATATGTACAGTATATGCAGATCTACAGCGAACAGGTTTTGTGTCTCTTCAGGTGGTTAGAAAGTAGTGTGTGTGAGGGGTTATACAGCCTTAAAACATACATCTGCTATTTTTTTAATTTTGCTTATTGCAAGTTGTTTTTAGAACGTGACCCCTGCGATAAACGAGGGACCACTGTATACCATTTTTTGTGTACACAAGCACATGTTCAAGGCAAGGCAACTATATTTGTATCACACAGTTCATACACAAGGCAACCCAAAGTGCTTCACAAAACAAGATAGAAACAATACTGGGCATGAATAACCGCAGTACATTGATCAGGGTGAAGGTAAAATCCTTCAGTTGTTGCAGAAACAGAACTGTTTTAACCTGGATTTGAACATTGTCGGAGAAGAAGCCTGTCTCACATTTTCAGGAAGACTGTTCCAGATTTTATCCTCAAACATCTGAAATGCTGCCTCCCCATGCTTAATTCTTACATGGGGAGCAGGTTCAGGATCTGAGTTATCACTATAGTATCAGAATCAGAATCAGAATCATTTTTATTGCCACGTAAGTAACAGGAGGTCACAGACTTGGAAATTGCTTTGGCTCAGTGCAACAGTCAAAAAGAGATAATAAAATAAGAATAAAAAACACTTCTAAAGAATAAATTTAAATTTAAAATAGAGTTACAGTTACTATTTACAATATACAAGTGCACATGGTGCACACAATGTAAGGTGACAGCAGTACAGTGAAGTAAAGTGACGTATGATGGGCAGTAAAGTGACTTTATAAAGGGCGGGGAGACAGGTTAAGAAATGTTCAAGAGTCCAACAGCAGAGGGGAAGAAACTGTTCTTGTGGCGGGAGGTTCTAGTCCTGATGGACCGCAGTCTCCTGCCTGAGGGGAGTGGATGGAATAGTCCATGTGCAGGGTGAGAGGGGTCGGCTGTGATACGACCAGCCCGGCCTCGAGCTCGGGCGACGTACATGTCCTGCAGCGATGGAAGGCTGCGGCCGATCACTTCCTCTGCAGAGCGCACAATGCGCTGTAGTCTCTGTTTGTCCCTGACTGTGGCTCCAGCGAACCACACGGTGATGGAGGAGGTGAGGATGGACTCGATGATGGCCGTGTAGAACTGCACCAACATCTGTGCAGGCAGCTTGGCTTTCCTGAGCTGCCGCAGGAAGTACATCCTCTGCTGGGCCTTCTTGATGAGGGAGCTGATGGTCGGCTCCCACTTGAGGTCCTGGGTGATGGTGGTGCCCAGGAAACGGAAGGACTCCACAGAGGTGATGGGGGAGTCCATCACGGAGGGTGGGGGTGGGGGGACAGTGCTCTTCCTGAAGTCCACAATCATCTCCACTGTCTTCTGGGCGTTCAGCTCCAGGTTGTTACCACTGCACCAGGACACCAGCCGGTCCACCTCCCTCCTGTAGGCGGACTCATCGTTGTTGGAGATGAGTCCAATGAGGGTGGTGTCGTCCGCGAACTTGATCAGCTTCACGGAGTCGTGACTGGAGGTGCAGTGGTTGGTGTACAGGGAGAAGAGCAGGGGAGAAAGAACACAGCCCTGTGGGGCTCCTGTATTTATAATCCGAGAGTCCGAGACATTCTTCCCCAGACGCACTCGCTGCTTCCTGTCCGTCAGGAAGTCAGTGATCCACCTGCAGGTGGAATCGGGCACGTTGAGCTGGGAGAGCTTGTCCTGGAGCAGGGATGGCAGGATTGTGTTGAAGGCAGAGCTGAAGTCCACGAACAGGACCCTGGAGTAGGTCCCCGGGGAGTCCAGGTGCTGTAGGATGTGGTGGAGGGCCAGGTTAATGGCGTCGTCTACAGATCTGTTGGCACTGGAGGCGAACTGCAGGGGGTCCAGGAGGGGGGAGGTGAAGGACTTGAGATGGGAGAGAACCAGGCGTTCAAATGACTTCATGACGACAGACGTCAGTGCCACAGGTCTGTAGTCATTGAGTCCTGTGAGCCTGGGCTTCTTCGGGACGGGGACAATGATGGAGGATTTGAAGCAGGCCGGGACATGGCAGGACTGCAGAGAGGTGTTGAAAATGTCCGTGAACACAGGAGTAAGCTCACTGGCGCAGTGTCTCAGAGTGGCCGGAGACACGTGGTCCGGGCCAGGAGCTTTGCGGGGGTGCAGCCTCAAGAAGAGTTGTTTAATCTCTTTAGCGGCTATTGTTAGGCTGGGGGCAGGGCTGATGGGTGGGTCGTTAGAGTAGTGGGGGGAGAGGTGTCGAGGGCAGCATCAAAGCGACTGAAAAATAAGTTCGGATCGTCAGCTAGCTTGTGGTCGTCAGCACAGGGGGGGGCTTTGGGTTTGTAGTTGGTGATCTCCCGTAGACCCCTCCAGACAGAAGCAGTATCGTTGTTACCAAACTGCTCCTGTAGTCGTTCTCTGTGCCGGGACTTGGCTGCTTTCAGTTCTTTCCTGAACTGATATTTAGCTGCTTTGTAGCCGCTGCGGTCCCCCTCCCTGAAAGTAGACTCCTTTGCTTTCCTGAGCTGCCGGAGTTTAGCAGTGAACCAGGGTTTGTCATTGTTATAGATGACCCTGGTCCTTGTTGGAATGATGCTATCCTCGCAGAAGTGAATGTATCACGTCACAGTGTCCGTATATTCATCCAAACTATCTGTGGCAGCTCTGAAAAGGTTCCAGTCTGTAGATTCCATGAATGCTCACAGCTCTTCTACAACTTCATCAGACCACACTTTGGAGCTCCTCACTGCAGGTTTCGAGAGCTTTAGTCTCTGTCTGTAAGCAGGAACCAGATGTATCATGGAGTGATCTGAGAAGCCGAGGGCTGGCTTGGGAACAGCGCGAAAAGCTCCGCGCACGGTGGTGTAACAGTGATCCAGAGTGTTCTCCTCTCTGGTCGGGCATTTGATAAACTGTCTGTATTTGGGTAATTCCTGGCTCAAGTTTCCCTTATTAAAATCCCCCAGGATAATAATCAGAGAGTCCGGATATAAACGTTCCATACACAGTACTTGCTCTGCGAGTGCGCACTGAGCCTCGCGCGCGTCCGCGCATGGCGGTATGTAAACAGAGGCAAGAATGAATGAAACAAATTCACGAGGGGAGTAAAATGGTTTACAATGAATGAAAAGATATTCCACAGCAGGAGAGCAGTGCTTGGAGATCACTGTCACATCGTTACACCAGTTTGTATTGACATAGAAACAGAGTCCACCGCCTCTGCTCTTCCCTGAGAGCGCACAATGGCGATCCGCGCGGAACAGCTCAAAGCCCTGTAGCTCCAGAGCGCAGTCCGGGATCCGCTCATTTAGCCAGGTGTCAGTGAAGCAGAGGACACAGGATGTGGCAAAGTCCTTGTTTCTTCTCATGAGCAGGCTGAGTTGGTCCATCTTATTGCCCAGTGAGCGTACGTTGGAGAGAAAAATGCCGGGGAGAGCCGTGCGCGCTCCTCTCCTCCTAAGACGCACGCGAGCAGGCCTCCGCGCTTTCACCTTCTACGGGCCCACACATTTTTGGCTAGAACATGAACTAAATCAGCCGCAGATTCCAAGAAAACAGGCAATAGGTCCATGGGAACGGTGGGTCGGATGTTCATAAGTTCCTCACGGGTGTAGGAACAGCCAGATGCACAGTTAAAAAGTAAAAACAAAAGAAAAAGAGAGCAGCAAAGAGCCATGTCGACCGTACGAGGCGCCATCTTTGAGAGTGCAAGTAGAACCAAATTTAGATTTTTCAGAATCGTTTCACAAAAATGAGATCCCGGCTTACTGGTCACGGAATAGTAGATTTTGTTTGGATAAAGTGTGAGCGCCCGTGGGTTCTAACTTTGTTTTATCACTCTCAGCTCACTCTCATACTGTTGAACTGATATATGACTTGCTCTTCCCGTTAACTGCTTCTGCTCAAGCACATTCCAAACAGAGAGAATTTATACCTGAGAACTCGTTGCGGTCTTCCCTCACCCGTTTGTGAGCATCAATCACTTTCAGTTTCAGTGTTCTGTAGATAGCTGCTGAGAGAAACACATGCAGCGGCCAGAGAGCTTTGTGGAATTCAAAATCTGCATCTAGTCTCTCTCTCACGCTTCCTCTGGTCTTTTGTCCTTTTAAATTCTTGAAAAAGGTAAAATAAAATATATCATTAGTCTTTCCTTTGCTTCACTGTTCAAAATATTAGTTATTCACTTTATCTGGGGGGCTAAGACTTGAATTAGTTGGAGGGTAATGGGTTGAAATTCCTCTAAAAGTAAAAATGTTGATAGATTATGATTGACCTTGGTGCCCTCTGTCTGTCTATGCAGCACCTGGAGCCGTGGAAGCTGTACGCCACCGTGGGGGTTCTCCTGGGCATTGACGTCCTGTCCCTGATGATCTGGCAGATAGTAGACCCTCTGCACATCACAATTGAGGTACGAGACAACACAATCTGTTTTTTCTGTCTCTTTCTCCAAATCAGGAGCCAAAAACTCCAGGTAACTAGAGGCCGTGCAAGGCCGAGGATGGTTAAGTATGGGTGGGTCATGGCGAGGCGAGGCGAGGTGAGGCTAGGAAAGTCTGGGTGAGGCTGGCCACAGCAAGGTGAGGCAGGGTGAGTGAAGCTGGGTACTCTGGGTGAGTTGGGGTAAAACTTGGTGAGGCTGAGAGAGTCTGGGTAAGTCTGGCTGAGGCTGAGAGAGTCTGCGTGAGGCTGGGTAAGTCTGGGTGAGGCTCAGTATGGGCGGCACGGTGGCTGAGTGGATAGCACTCTCGCCTCTCAGCAAGAAGGTCCTGGGTTCGAATCCTGGTCGGACCAGGACCTTTCTGAGTGGAGTTTGCATGTTATCCTCATGTCTACGTAGATTTCCTCCGGGTACTCTGGTTTCCCCTACCACTAAAAATATGTACAATAGTTCTGGCATGCGCCTCGTGTTCGGTCACCTCGCTCCCGTCTCTGTGTGGAGTGAGAAGACAAGTGCCCAAAAAATAACAAATGTAAACCTGACTCTGGTCTGTGAAAGGCGGTATATAAATAAAGATTACTTACTTACTTACTTAGTATTGTAGGCCGCTGGTTTGAACAATTGAATCATTACTAACATAAATGGCGCCGCCTCCATGTTTGAGAATGTTTGAGAATAAACATGAAATATTGTGAATCCTAAGCTGCACAATAAGCAGATTGCTCCCTGCTGATGTGATGTCACTTGTCTTATACAGAAATTCACCAGAGAGGACCCCAAAGGAGACCTGGACGTCCTGATCCAGCCGCTGCTCGAGCACTGCAGCTCAGAGAAGATGAACACGTGGCTGGGTGAGTGACTTTAAAGTATAGAATTGTGCTAAACATGATATTTACTTATCTTGTGTGGTGTGATTTGAATACTAGTAAGCTGGTATTCATTTACTAAAGAAAATCCTGTGTTCCATTCAATCACAGTAAAAGATCCAGGAGACTTTTCTGTCTGTTTGAAATGATGTGTATTATTCATGCAGCTTCTTCCTCTGCACTAAAGACGTTTGATTCACTTGTTGTTTTATCACGGTTAAAAACTCATCACTGTACCTTTATGCTAACGTAGATCGGCCTTCGCTGTCCAGGAGAGCAGACCGACATTGTATTACATTAATTTATAATTGACTCAATGGAAAACTGACAGATTATTGGACATATTTATTCAACTGGAACTCATTTGCTCTTCAAATCTGCTTGTACATTTTTGCATCTGACAAATGTAATGACTTTTAAACCTTTGCCAAGTTGGACACAGTCACTTGACACTCTCAAATTTTTATGTGAAAAATGGCCCTTTTTCAGTATTTTTAATTTTTTTGTGCTTTAGTTTTAGCCTGGCCTTAGCCATCCGTACACTCCGCTCAATCATCATTTCCCTGCATGTAACGTCTGGGTCTGGTCCCTGGGTTAGCGATTACAATCGGTTGAATTTCGACCGACAAATCAGCGAGTGCGGAAGGAAGGTATTGTAGTTAGTTGTGGGTGACATCAAGAATTTGCGTTGAACGGGCAGGTTGTAGTTTGGCAATGGCGAAAAATGCGATAGTAAAGTAATCCAGTCTGGTTCTATCAAGAAATTGAAGCCGGAGCAAGGGTAATGTTTAGCAAATGAAATCACTGGAAAAAAATTGTGGCGCTACTCCCCACGGGCTCCGTTAGCAGCAAAGGAGATGGCTAGGCTAAATGCTAAATGCTAAATGCAGACTCAGGCGCATTACATACGTCACGGTAAACTCAGATCCAATCGTTTCAATATGCAAAAGGAGTTAACCCCTCCCACCTGTAAACTGAGCTCAATGGCGCACATCCAGACCTTAGTATGAAATGTCATTTGTACTATGGTGTGGTACGACCAGGCTACTTTAGTTTGTGTGTGTGTGGTTTTTTTTTTAGACTAGAGCTCATGCAACAGATCCTGGAACTGTTAAAAGTCACCCCGCTTCAATAAAGTAACATTGTAACAAGTTTTAATGTGTGTTATTACCATAGACTGTATATATATGGATAATGCCAGTCCTTTAGCTCAATGAAGTCCAATAGGGAAGTTCTCATGGATGAACTCTTCTTGACTTACACATAAAAGTAAACTCCTGGCACAAAGGAGTTTACTTTTGAGGTACACAATGTTTGAGGTACATAAAAGTATTAGGTTCCTCTTTGCCAGACAATAGTAGGTTTGCAATGTGACTTGACATATTTCGACGAATACTTCCTTAGAACCGTCTCGCGACGTCACACATGACGTGCCTTGTCAGTTGCTGTCAAGCCAGCCAACCTATATAACCTTTAACCAGTAAACCATATACTGTACGTTGTCTGAAAGTATTTGTCAAAATATGATACATGATTAAGGCCGATTCTAGCTATTAATACCTCATATTTTATGCAGTGCACACATTCTATGATACTATTTAAGATAATAGATATTAAAATAATGAAAACATTAAGATAATAAACTCTAGAGCTTTACTTGCACTTAGGTCGAGGATAAGTGGAGAACACTGTTAGCAGCAACATGAGGTATTTACAGATTGTTGATATTGTACTTTAGCCGCTGAGAACATGACCAGAATAAACAATAGTAATAATAACAGAAGATTAAGTGACTAGTAAATCATCCGTACAGGTGAATGGCACATGTCCAGGCCCAGCAGTTCTCATTTTACAGTCTGACAATAGTAGAAAGAAATTACTTTTGGAACCTCTACTTCACAAAGCGCGGGTGGATCAGTCTGTCACTGACCAACTAGATGGGGGAGTGGAGAGAGAAATTTATGGGGGAACTACAGCTCGCCTTAGTAACACATCTGCCCCTGCTACAGCACAAAGCTAACAAAACTTAAAAAGCCCTTATAAATAATAGATACTGTATAGTTACAGAGAGAACTTACCGAATAACACTAGATCTTTGTGTCAATAGTCTGACCAGTCAAACTTTGACTTTAAATTGTTTTGTATATTCTTCTCAAACCATCTGAGCAAAGGTTTGTGTAAACTCTCAGTCGTACAGAGATTATTCAAAACTAAGAAAGATTGCTCACCCATCAGCTTTACTTCAGTTAGGATGTTTTCCAATGTTTCGTCTTCGGATAAAGAATGATACGTCAGAAAACCCGCTTATTGAAGTACAGGTGATGGATGAGCAATCTTTCTTTGTTTCAGCTGAGCAAAAGTATAAAGCAAGTATTCTGTCTTTGTCCAATTTGTCCCCTTCCAACATGCTGTAGGTTTTAAAGTATACAGTGTTCTGCATTTGTGCTGATGCAATGTGGGAGAATCAAACCCTTCCACATCTTGACAGTCATTTTTGTATTACCTACACATGAACTAAAATAAATTCTAGTTCTTTCTTCCTGTGGCTCAGAGAATAGACTTACAGCAGTGTTGCTTGTGTAAAAGTCTCTACATGCTCAATGAACCACAGCGACTGGCCTCTTGCTGGTGCCCAGAGTCAGGACTAACCATGTATGCGCCTTAAAGCTGAAACCGACTTCTTGAAAATGTGAGACAGGGCTCTACTCTGATAATGTTCAAATCTAGGTATAATATTGTTTAGTGATTCAAAGTATTCAGACATTCAGAGGTTACTGATTCTGCCAATCCACGTCACAATCCTGTCTTTTGTTCCAACATTGTATACATTATATAAATTCACAGCCTTGATCTTAAACGCTCGCTCATGTGTGTGCCCTGCAGGTGTGGTGTACGGGTACAAGGGCCTGCTGCTGCTGCTGGGGATCTTCTTGGCCTACGAGACCAAATCCATCTCCACCGAGAAGATCAACGACCACCGCGCTGTGGGCATGGCCATCTACAACGTGTCTGTGAGTCCTCCGTCTCACTACTACTGTCATCAGCCGTACGTCAGGCTGCAGGCAGAAAGAAATGATTACAAAGATGAAGAGATGTCAACGTTAAATGGAGTTGGTATCGGACAATCAAATTTGTAGAAGTGAAATAGCTGTGATTAGTCTCAAATATCCTGATTTGTGCAACTCTTGTCCTCAACATGAATATTATACATACAGTAAGCATTACCCTACCCTACTTCAACTAGTTGGATCTACACTGCCTGGTTACATTTCCATTACGCTTTAGAATCTGGTATACCCTAGCAACCCATCCACAACAAACCAGTATCCAGGAAATTTTCTTGGTAACCATACATCATGGTGTGGACTTTGGGTTATTTTACGAAGTCTTATTTTTCTTAATTTTTCAGTGGTTGTAGTTTAGTTTTGCTTCCTGTCCTGTTCCCCAGTTGATTATCTGCCCCGCCCACATGTGTATCCCCTGTGTCTCTGTGTCTATATGTACCTGTGCTCAGACCCTCTTATGGCTGGTTCCTGGTTCTGTTTGGATCTTGTAATGTTTATTATCTTACGTTTGTTTTGTCATCTTGGACTTTATTTATCACCATTAAATCTTTTCTTCTTTTTTTTTCATTCCTGCTTTTTGGGTACAAAACACCATGTCCTTGAGCAACTCTCTGGCCAATCTCTGTCAGTTGGAACATTTTAGTACCAGCAAGGCCGAGCCGTACAATCTCTGTCAGGATTGGCCAGCACTCAAAAGTACCTAGTACCAGTTAAACAAGGCTGGTGGAAACACCCTCAATCGTGGAATTGTCAAAGGCAAGAATGAATAGAGTAGGGCTAAGTAGAGTTGGTGGAAATGGGGCTAAATATTTCCGAAGAGAATGTGTTTTGGACGCTCCCTCTCACCACAGTTCTCACATTAGCGTGATTCGTTAGCTTTATTTTAGCAGCATGCAAATCCACCCCAGCCTGCCCAGGCCTATTCCAATAAACACTTGTTTTAACTATCGGCCCCTGGGAGCTCGGATCACTTATCTGTACGTTAGAAAATATTTACAGCTGTCAGCATAACCGCAAACAATCAACTGATGGATAAACATGTGTTTTATGGTTCAGAGGTTCATTAAGAAAATACTCTCATTACAAACATCATACTGTGCTTTATGACCATATTTTTCATTACATTTTATAGTCTTAAAATGTGTGTACGAATGAAATATACACAAGCACTGAGTGTGCGTCCGCAGGGGGTGTAAGCAGAGATATGAAAGAGGATCACATTATTACAGAGCGACGACTTTTCTTTCCACCGATGTGATTTAGAAAGACACTTTTAATGAACATTGTCACATGTGCAAACAAAGCCTTCAATAAATAGTACACAATGGCATGATGATAAAAAAGTACTTTGAGTCTATAGATTTCAAACAAAAACTTTAGTTTACTCTGAGTTTACTCAGCGTTTGAAACAGATATTGGCAAACTGCTCCTTGTGTTCCTACTGTCCCTGCAGTGCGCTGCAACATGGACATTTACCCACTGTGGGACTAAAAACGTTCTCTTATCTTATAAAGTTGAACATGCTCTCTCCTCATAAAACAACTCTAACGTCTAAGGACATTTGCATGACAAATGACTTCTTAATGATTATTTCTTGAGTCTGTCCTCCGCGACACTCATTACAGTCTTCTTTAACAAACGAGAGCAGAGCAGCCCACCTGTTCCTGCTGCGATGGAAGGACACGATGCACCTGGAGGTGTCTGCGTCAGCCTCACACTTCATTATCACATTAGCTGTCACTCAGAGCTGCTCTTAGATGCTAATGTCTGAGCCACTGCTTTGACGTGTGCAGACAATACAGAGCCAGACCAGTCCAGAACAATACAGAGCCAGACCAGTCTAGAATTCAATCTTGAACAACTTGAGACAAGATTGCATTAGAATATTAATTGTCAAGATGCCTGAATAGACACTAGACTTATTGATTGAGTGCTAATTTATTTATTGCATTTGAACATGATGTTTGTTATGCATCTGCAATTAGACCCCGGCAGGAATACTGCATGACGTACTGTATGTGGAAGGGAGTTCAATAGAAAGTTTAACTTACATTTTACTCCACATGGTACTCCACTGAAGAGGCGGTAATGGGGAGGAGGTGGGTTGCTGCTCGAACAGCAGCTTATGCTGCAGAGGACTGAGGCTCTGTTTAAATGGAGTCATGAAGTGATGAGCACAGGTGTGTGACTGAGCAGCTGAGGCTGAGGCTGTTGAGCTCAGGCGCAGGTGTGCAGAAGGGGAGGAGTCATGGCATAAAAATTCAGTTTATGCATTTGCATTTGCATGTAGACAGAGATAATCAGAGTTTTGCGTTTTCGCACGTCATAATATGCCCCCATAACAACAAAAAAGGAAGCATGGAGTGAAAACTGTGGTTCCACCGGATCATGCTGCGGCGCAGCAGCGGTGGGTTCGGCGGCAAGATGCAACGAAAGCAGGAGATGAACCTCCTCGTTCCACATCAGAGAGCAGCAAAGTGGTCATGGGACTCACGCTCGAAAACAACTAAAACAGGAGCTAAACCAAGATTAAACCAGGACGGGGGACACAGCATCTGAACATGTGTCTTTACCCTGAGTTTCTTCTATGGCTGTAAAAGTGCCACTACAGAAGTACCGGCAACGTTTTCCCCGAGTGCCTTTCACAGACCAGGATGACAAAGCACTTCAACAATTAACAAAACATACAATGAAAAATAGTACAGCTATAAGTCAGTTTCATAAACAGCCTATATAAATAAATGTATTGTGTTCCCAGACTTGGTAGGGACGACGAACTTACAAAGTTTGCAGATCGACCTCACCCGGGTCAGACTTTAAAAATCCCAAATACAACCAAACTTGTCTAAGATTCTAAGATTCATGAAGATTCTAAGAATATTCATAGAATTTTGCCACTAGGAGCAGCTCTTAGCACTAAGAAACTTTAGGAATACGGTCCCAGAGCTCTGAGAAAAACAATGTGGATGGTCATGCATCCACGTCACAGAGATGGCATAGATCAAACTCAGTATCGTCACAGGGATGGCATCTTGAACACAACAGGATAAGAATATGCAAAAGAAACTGCTGAGCCTGCACATGTCGTCTCATCTGTAAATAGAAAATACTGCAACCATGTGCAATACTGCAATTTCAGAATGTCCACTGAATGTCACTTTATCTACTACTGTTGAATTTCCCAGAATGCCTTGCAATTCATGCTCAGCCTTGATAGGTCGAGAAGCCTCAGCCTACTTCTCCCAGAATGCTTTGCGCTTCTGGCTCATCTTTCTTTCTGTTTTTTTCTAACGGAGTTAAGTGGAATTATTGAACGTTCTATCGACTCCATTATCTGTTGATATTGATCACATGTCTATCGCGAAACATGTGGGTGGCACGGTGGCTGAGTGGCATTCTCGCTTCTCAGCAAGATGGTCCTTGGTTCGAATCCCGGTCGGAACAGGGCCTTTCTGAGTGGAGTTTGCATGTTCTCCCCATGTCTGCGTAGGTTTCCTCCGGGTACTCTGGTTTCCCCTTCCACTAAAAACATGTACAATAGGTCTGGCATGCGCCTCCTGTACTGCTTTGTGACTCTGGTCTGTGAAAGGCGCTATATATATATAAAGATTACTTACACTACCACTATATATCATTTTTGTTTTATCGCCCAGCCCTAGAAGAACTCATGCCCTTTCATTTCATTATGCTCAGTTTTTAACATTTGATCATTGATTCCACACTTTTACTTTAAGCCCATTTCATCCTTTTCAAAGTAGTTTTACTTCAGTTTACGTCTTTAAAAATATGATGACGACTACTAAAAGATAAACGCAGTAGTCATTGGTTTGGGTGGCCACATGAGACATGAGGTTTTCATGTATTTTGATTAATTCATTTAAATTGGACGAGGGATTTTCTCCGGTCTCCTGGTCGTCCGTAATGTTTAAGAGTCTTAAAGGATGGACATAAAGCGTTAGAACCAGATTTAGAGCGAGCGGAGAGAGAGGAATACAAATGATTCCACTTAATATTGCATGATGGGAATAAAGAGGCTTTGTTTTGTAATAACGAATAATCCATTATTTATATAAGACCTTTTTACAATTAAGAATGTTTGAAACTCATGGATTACCCAGTGGGATTCAAACTCAGATTAAAGAAGGTAGTTTATTATGCATGACGGCTTGAAATGAAGTTTTGCAGTCTTTTAAGTCAGAACATTGCATTTGTTTTAGTTCTTTCTCAGCCCATGGTTCATGGTTTTGGTATTTGCAGTAGTAGTAGCAGTAGTAGTAATAGTAGAAGTAGTAGTAGTAGCCCTGGGATCCCGACCTGAGGGCAATCTGGCTGTGGCTGTAGGAGCTGAACATTACCTGACGTTAGCATGGTAGCATCGCTCTTAGATTTGATGTCGCGGCTCATTTACCCTTTAACTGTTATCTCTGATTGGTCGATGGTGTGGCTTTTATAGAAGTGACAAATGAAAGAAGACGTTCTTTCACACACTAACAAGCCACTAGACTGCTGTGTTATTTGGATTCCAGTGTTGTAAATGTGACTTGTCAGCTCATCTATTCCATCTGCAGCACAGCCGTCTTCTTCAAGTGTATAAGAACAAACATGGAAACCGCTCCTAGTGAGTTTGGTCGCTCCAATTGTAGTTTAAAACTGTTTTTCCTCCTCCTGTTTGTCTCCATAGTTATGTTATTGACGAGTTTGGTTCAATATACTAGGCCAGGGTTGTGCAATCTTAGTTATCAAACAAGCCATTACACACATTTTCTGCCAAAGTAAAATCCTCTGTACTAGACAAAGCTATATTACTGTCATTTCAGAAAAAAACACATGATTTATAAGGAGCAGATGACCAAAGAAGTTTTTATTGACTGCTTTCTCATTTCAAATAGTGTGGACAACAGAAGTGGAATCATAGAACAGTCCCACTTGTCCGGATGCGTCTGGTAAAAGTGATAAATGTATCTCAGCCCCATAGGGAAACTCTGCAACTAGGCCACGCCGTTCAAAAGTACAAATACTTTTAAGATAAACAAGCCAGAAAGCAGGAGCGTCTTATCATCCACGGTCTGCTCCGATCATTCTTTCATTCCCTACGCTGGGCTTTTACTCTTGCTTTGGAAAACGTTGTGCCATTTTTGATACAATCAACTATTGAGCTAAACCTTGGAGCTGTAACTATCACAGAACAATCACAAACGGCTAAAAGTGAAGCCACAATCTGGAATACTCTTCACACTACTTACTTTACTATTACTATTACTTTCACATCTGAGTCATGACTTGTCCATATACAGTGGCTGGACAAAAGTATTTATACCCATTGAACTGATGTGTTTTATTTTTATTTTTATGAAACCAGCACAAGTGGTCAACAAATGTGAACAAATATAGACAAATTCTACTCAATTTATTTTTGAATCGCCCTGAATCACAACAACACAGATCATACAAATCAGATGATTCATCTCGGTTTTCCTTAATAAACTAAACTAAACTTAGAATCAGGACAGGATCAGACATACAGAACAGGAAATGCAATAATAACAAACACATGGAAGCAGACCACTGTCCAGAAATATAAATGTCCCAAGGAATGTCTTAATATACACGGCCTCAATAAGGCTTTGGTTTAGTTTAGTCCTGGTGTAGATTTAAGATAAAGTTGTGTATTGAACTAATCATTATGAAAAAAGAATGTGGTTATCATGAGACCCTGCTCTGTGCACCTGAAGCGTTCAATGTCTGTTGTTTGCGATGTGCAGAGAAGCTCTTAAGCCTTTTTCCCCAATCCTCTCTGTCAAACTCTGATGAATGTGTCTCTGATCTGTAGCAGTGATGGGGAGTAACCGACTATGTTACGTATTCAGAATCCTCTCTCTGGATAACCCGGACATTATACTTCAATGTCCAGGATTTAGAGTACAGTTATTTGGTTCTGGTCCTGTACTGTCCTGGTTCTGGTCCTGTCCTGGTCTGTCCTGATCCTCGTCCTGGCCCTGTCCTCTTGCTCTGTCCATGGTGCTGAAGGGAGAGCAGTGAGCTTTCTCCGTGTCGCTCTCAGATAAATGGCTGTTCATCGATAGAATAGATTTCCAGAGAGGCAGGTGTTTCTGTTTTTGTCCCTGTGTGCATCCTTTGTATTGAGCTGGAGCTCCATCATCCGTCTCACGCACCGCCATCTCTCAGGAGTAACTCTGAGGCAGTTTGTCTGCACGTCACTTCTGCTGCAAAGGGAAAGTTTGATGGTGTTTCACTTGCAATCGAAAATAACACTTTATCGTTCATGGCTTTGTGGAGTGGATAAAGTGGAAGGACTGCTTTAGTACAACCCTCAGAGCGACACATTTAATCTAGCTTATTTTAAAGACCTATTTGCTTTTTTATGGACCTCTTTGCTTATTTATTATTCTATGTACCTGTTGGCACGGAGCTGAGTGGCCTTTCTGAGTGGAGTTTGCATGTTCTCCCTGTGTCTGTGTAGGTTTCCTCTGGTTTCTCTGGTTTCCCCCTACCACAAAAAACATGTACAATAGGTATGAATGTGATGAGTGAGTGAATGGATGGTGTTGGTTGGTTTACGAAAGCCCCCAAAAAAAAATCTGAACCGGGAACATTGTAAAGCGCTTTGGGTGACCTTGGTCTGTAGAAATGTTCTATATAAAAAAATATTACTACCACTACTACTTCATATTCAACATATTTGATTTAGAGCTTATCAGAATGCTTTTTCCCACTTTCACCAGTAGGGGGGAGTGTTGCTCATTTTAGTCATCACTTATGTCATTTGTCAAGCGTATCATACACTGTGTACGCAAGTTGTGGTACATAAGTAAGTCATAATTATTCATATAACGAATTTTTTTGGGAAAACATAAAAGTAAATAGTGTTGAGATTATGTTTAGGGGCATGATTGAGAATGAAATGGTGTTTGTTCTTTAAGTGTATTTAAGAGTGTATACTTACCAGTTTAGTTCATGGTTGTGTGTCTGCAGGTGCTGTGCATGATCACCGCCCCGGTCACCATGATCCTGTCCTCTCAGCAAGACGCCTCCTTCGCCTTCGCCTCTCTGGCCATCGTCTTCTCCGTCTACATCACTCTGGTGGTTCTCTTTGTGCCTAAGGTAACTCACAGAAACACAAGTCCCCATTCAAGAAGACGGAATGTTTCGCTGGTCATGTTATGTTTAGTACAGTTACGTAACGACAATTCAAAAGTCTGTTGCAGGCCTCAAAGTGTTAGCTTTTGGAGATGATAAAGATGACTGGGAGCTGTATGGACACATTTTTATAAATCTTAATTGGACAAGCTAGGTCTCTGTGCTCCACTTGAGACTGACATGAAATGCATTTACTTTCTTGGGTGTGTTAAAACTACTTCTATTGTTACGTTTACAAAGTGGTATTTGTCAACAGTTCTGTCTCATGTGACTGATGATAGTGAAAAAGTCTCTCAAACACAAATGTGCAAGTTCTTCAAGGCCATCCATGCTAATTAAAGGGGATTTCTAAGGGATTTTGTTGTATAAGTATTTTTGAATGTGTAATGTATCGTTAAGCAAAGATAATTTATAGTTTGACTGAAACTGAATGCATACAAAACTTAATAACTGACCGAGTGACGCTCACGCTACTTGGTCCTTGTCTGTGCCTCTGGTGACATCTGGTGGTGATAGTACGAACCGCAGTTAAAGTTTCTTGCACTTCTCTGTTTGTCCATGAGTTGATATTTACATATTTACACAACTGCTGCCACACTGATGCCCAGCAGAGGAGGTGAGAGGAGGGAGAGAGGTGGAGGAGGAGGAATGAGGAGAGAGGGGGAGATGAGAGGAGAAAGATGAGAGATGAGGAGTTAGGAGGAGGTGAGGGGAGGAAGAGAGAGAATGGGATGAGAGGAGGAAGAGAGAGGATGGGATGAGAAGAGGAGAGAGCAGTAGGAGGAGTAAGAGGAGGGAGGAGGAGATGAGAGGAGGAGAGAGGAGGAGTGAGGAGCAGTAGATCGACATAATGATCTTCCCCTGCAGCAGATCTCATAAGCAAAGCAAGCCAGGGCCTGGTCAGTACTGTGATGTGAGACAGTGATTTTATAGGCCAGAGGTGTTTGACTGCAAAAATTGGCAGCCTCGCTTCCATCAGTCTTACCCAAGGCAGCTGTGGCTACAATAATCTAATAAGAGTGTGGAGTGAATGTCCCTGAAAACAGAGTGGATACTGCAAAGGGAACACCAGGGGGAGACATTACACTAAACATAAACTGTGTTGCCTTGTCTTGAATTATTTAAACTTTAAACTTGCCCGTATCTGCCCTCTGTCTGCTAAATCTCCTCTCTGTATTCCACCAGGGGGTTGTTGTGGAAGGGTTAGGGACGGGTACATTAGTTCAAGGGTTAGGGTTCAGCAGTTAAAGGGTTAGGGTACAGTAGTAAAATGGTTAGGGTACAGTAGTTTAAGGCTTAGGGTGCAGTACCTAAAGGGTTAGTTTACATTAGTTAAAGGGTTAGGGTACAGTGGTTAAAGAATTAGGGTACAGTAGTAAAAGGGTTAGGGTACAGTAATATAAGGGTTAGGGTACAGTATAGTTTAGGGTACAGTGGTTAAAGAATTAGGGTGCAGTAGTTTAAGGGTTAGGGTACAGTTAAAGAGTTAGGGACAGTAGTTAAAGGGTCAGGCTACAGTAGCTAAAGGGGTAGGGTGCAGAAACTAAGGGGTTAGGGTTCAGTAGTAAAACTCACGGTGAGGTGTGTGCGCAGATGCGGCGGCTGATCACCAGAGGGGAGTGGCAGTCAGACACACAGGAGACCATGAAGACCGGCTCTTCCACCAACAACAACGACGAGGAGAAGTCCAGGCAGCTGGAGCGGGAGAACAAGGAGCTGCAGAAGATCATCCAGGAGGTCTGCACACACACACACACACACACACACACACACACACATACACGTTTTTGTTACCTGGTGGGTCCCTTTGACAGGGCCGTTCAGAATGGGACCCATAGACATAATCTTTTTTTACCAAGACTTTAAGTAATACAAAACAGTCAATAGAAACCAAACAACTATTTTAAAGGAATTTTATTTTAGATTTTGTTTTCGAATTGCAGTGATTCTATTTTTGACATAGAATTTAATGCCACTCCATGTCCGATGTCTAAGGTCATCTGGTGAGGCATTAATGCAGGCCAGGCAGTGAGACTTCCCAGGGACCTTTCCAGTCTGTATGAAAGGTGTCATGGTCTTCTCCACAGCCTTCACCTCAGATGCAGACCATGGCTTTCTTACACGTTCTAGGGAGAGAAATAAAAATATATTAGCAATATACACTCCCAGGGTGAGGACCAAGCAGCCTGGCTGTAATCCCCCACCTGGTACACTTACCAGAAGGGGCACTGCCACTACCATGGGGTGCATCTGGATGAATGGTTGAAGGTTCTCCGCTTGAAGTTTCTTTTAGCCCGTCCGTTTGTGAGAGGATCTCTACTGCTCTCCCTGTCGCACAGAAAATAAAAATACAAGTGGCCTTTAGGGGAAAAAAATCATACATATTTTAATAATATCAAGAATTACCTTCAGGCTCAATTTGTATCTGGTCGAGGCTCTTTCCTTCGAATTCCGTCACTCTTCCCTGCTCCATGGCCATCAACACTTTGCTGATTTTGGCCAGCTCCAGTGTCCCCTCTGGTAGTCTGTAATATTGCCTGTGGATGCGAATGTCATGGCCGAGGAAGTTGGCAAGTATGTCCATCTCATTCTCTTTCATATTGAGAACTGTAGACATAGTAGCTATGTGCTTTCTAAGTTTGGTTGAGGATAGCATCTCTGGATGCACCGCACCACATTCTTTGGCTACCTGGCGTAGGGAGTCTGATCCCCTGATGTGGGTGTCTGCGCCCGGGCGGGAAAAGAAGTATGGGTTATGGTCAGAGATGGAACAGGCCCTTCTGTTCTCCACCAGCACCTCCATCGAAGCAATCATTTCAGGAGTCAAAAGAACCGGCACTTTCCGACTTCTTTTCCCTTTAATTTCAATGCGTTGAAAATGCTGACACAGCTTTTTCTCAAGTTGGGACAGTCCCAGAGCAATGTCAGAATGGATCCCAGTCTTACTTCTTAAGGTAAAGGCTGTCAGTGGCATCTTTGAAACCTCACCTTCCCTTCTTCGATTGAAAATGATGACCTCACAAAGAGTCAAAACTGCCAGTTTAGACCAATGCTTAGACGTTGGCTCACTTATTAGGGTTTGCACATATTCAGGTCGACATACCTCAATATGTGCATGCATGGCTCTAACGTCCTCAGTCAGAGGGAGCAGGTCCGGAGTGTTCCACTTGGCTTGCCGGAGGGTCTGTAGGGCAGCAGAAGAAACACAGACGTCCCACCTCTTCTCAAAAAGCAGCCGGCTTCGTTGGAGGTTTTTAATAAATAGTTCATCAACACAATGCTCCATTTTTGAGTCACATTCAAGAATATCTGCTAGCTTTCTGAGGCTATGGCCGAGTTTGAGGGCCAAGGATGGAGTCTTGTATTGATTTGTTTCCTCATCATATCCAGCCACAGACCTGACTGCATCAATCACATGGTTAAAGTTGGAAGGAATAAAGAAATCCTTAATTGTTTTCAGTTTCCCTGCGGTTTTTGCTTCGTTAATTAACCTACCGACTTCTCTCATTTTCTGCCTAATGTAATCATGCTTTGTCTTATCATGCCCGTGTTTTAAGTACAGGTGCTCTCCGAGTCTCAGAATCCCCTTTTCTGCTTTGACAACACCCGTGACCTCATCCTGATGCATTGCCGAAATTAAAGACCACAGCTTTTTGCTGATGCCCTCCGGTACAGGCTGGGCTAGGGAGCAGAGGGACTGGACCCTACTTCTACCTGGTTTAGCCTGGGCATCTTTCTGTGAAAGCCGGCACCTGGCCACATGCCTCCACAGCGACTTTCGCTTAAGCAATGCCCCACAGTCTATACAGTGCAAAAACTCACTGGATTTAACTGGGCAATTTGGCTGTTTAGCTGGGACTAAAGTTCCAATGCCGGCCTTTAAAACCTCAAAATTGTGCTCACGGTTTCCACTATTCCTGATCAAATCAAACTGAAGTTTACGTGCTTTAGATTTCACAGGTAGAGCCAATGCTCTGGCTACGTCACTTTCATTTCCATGTTTTCTAGTCAAATGACGGGACATTTTGTGGCAGGACATTGAACAGTAGAGGCAGAAGTGTCTCTTGCTGTATACTCGCCCCCCATTTTTCTTCTTTTGCAGCTGCATGATAACAATCTTATTTGCCTTTGGTTCGTCACTTTCCGAGTCTTGAAGAAAAGTGTTTTTGATTTGTCTTTTTCCATACTTTTTTACAGGTTTCTTCTTGACAGTTAAATCGTCAGAATCTGAGTCGACTTCATCAATTAGGGACTCTTGACTAAGCTGCACAAACAACAAATAATTTGTAATCATTCTATATAACAATTTGAAGTCATGACTTGTAGTCAGCACTTACCAGTGGTTTGTAAGCGTGCGCTTCAGTGTGCTCCTCCATGATTTCTTGCAGCCTAATGAACCACACACTTGCACCTTTTTCTAGCCTGACACCTGATTTCCTCTGTTGTGCTGCTCCATGATTGGCTCCAGCCTGCTGGACTGAAATTGCCCCAGTGTGCCCCTCCTTGATATCCCGCAACCCACCACCAGGGTTCCGACACATAACACACTTTTTTCAGGAAAGTAAACCTCCAGGGGTCCTTTCCATATTTTTACAGAGACTGCATAAGGACCGTTAGAAAAGCATTACCCATTGATTATTAAGCTTGGACCAGTGGGGTCCGGTGTTCGGGCCCCACCACGTAAAACCAGTCCCCATGACGTGAGTGGAATCTCAGGTTATGGAACCCACCAGGAGTTGAAAACAAGTGCACACACACATACACACACACACACACACACACACACACACGCACACACTAAAGTCCTACTTATTTATCACTGCCTCTCAGAGTCCGAGTTTGTTCATGCGGCTCAAACATGTCCTTTCTTCTTCTGTCAAACACAATTCTTTCTTGATTGTTTTTGTATTGTTTGTATCATTCTATTGTTTTTGTGACTTTTTGCTCAGGCCTCATTGCTTCATTTGCATTTGTCCTCATTCACTCCCTTGTCTTGTGTTTCAGAGTTTTGAAGCAGGTCACATCACCTCCTCACGCTGACCCCGCCTCCTCGCCATCATTTGTGTCGTATTCATCCGTCACACTTTTCATACACTGATGTAATAATAGATCAATAATGAAATATACACATCATATACATATATAAATACATTTAACATACACAAGTTATTATAATCATTCTACTTTTTGAGTTTTTCCTCATCACCAATAGAGTTCCCTCATCACAAACAGACTGAAAATGAGAGAATACGGAGTTCTGAGTGGTATTTATGAGTTAACGTTTTGATTTGTCAAAACATGTTATTCTAAACCTGGTTCTCCATTGGTGACAGGGGTGTGTATATTCAAACAAATTAACAGTCAGGTCTTTCAGAGTAAAAGCACTAAATTACTGGAAAAGGTGAAAGCCAGATCCCAAAAGTGTTCTTTGGCAACACACTAGAATGAGTCCGGTGGTGGTCGGAGGTACATACTGGTTACTTCGCTTCTGTCAGTGTGCCCCAGGGCAGCTATGGCTACAGTAGCTTATTAATTTCCACTGTGTATGAAGAGAAGTCCCAAGCGCTCATGGTTTTCCTCAAATACATGAAACAGGCCTTTATTAAAACATGGCTATATTTAAATAATGCACAACACATTACAGTGGAGCTGTTTTGAGATTCTGACTCAAAGCAGCACCAACATCGCCCCCTGTTCTTTCTCTGTAACATGTCTCTGAGAAAGGAGAGTAGTATCGCCACCTGAGAAGATACAAAAAAGATATGTTCAATAAGTTCCCAAACCATCGCATAAATGAGTAGTAATGCCCGGATGGCAGCTGCGTAAGCCGGTATGGATCAGGGTCCAAATGTAGGTGTCTGATATTAGCCTGGCTGTTTCTTATGCTTATCTTCACCAGACGTCTGAAACTGCAGCTGAAATCAGAGAAAATGTTGTACACGTGTTTAAAGAATTGTATATTTATGTCCTAAAAGCCACCTGTGGACAAGTGTTGAGCATGAAAGGAAATGCATCTGGTTTGTCCAAAGTAACTGTTGTGTCTATATGATATAAAGAAACAAAAATATTGCATCCGCTAGTTTAGTTTTAGCCTGGCCATAGCCATCCGTACACTCCGTTCAATCATCATTTCCCTGCATGTAACGTCTGGGTCTGGTCCCTGTGTTAGCGATTACAATCGGTTGAATTTTGACCGACCAACCAGCGAGCGCGGAAGGCAGGTGTTGTAGTTAGTTATGGGTGACGTCAAGAGTTTGTGTCGAACGGGAAGGTCGTAGTTTGGCAATGGCGAAAAATGCGATAGTAAAGTAATCCGGTCTGGTTCTATCAAGAAATTGAAGCCGGAGCAAGAGGAATGTTTAGCAAATGTAATCACTAGAATAAATTGTGGCGCTACTCCCCACGGGCTCCGTTAGCAGCAAAGGAGATGGCTAGGGCTAAATGCTAATAACAGACTCGGGCGCACTACATACGTCACGGTAAACTCAGATCCAATCGTTTCAATCTGCAAAAGGAGTTAACCCCTTCCACCTGTAAACGGAGCTCAGTGGAGCGCCTCCAGACCTCAGTATGAAATGAAATTGTACTATGGTGTGGTACGACCAGGCTAGTTTAGTCCCAGCAAAACCTAATGTTGTCCCCATAGCGAAATTTGTCCTCTGCATTTGACCCAGTTATTGCCCTAGATTTGTGTTACTTGTACTGTAGTAACACAATCCACAAAATGTTGATTTGAAATGCACATGCAATTTGAACAATGAGCTGGATTTGGAATTGAACAAGGATTCTACACTGCAAAAAATGGTAGAATACTAGATGCTAATAGTGGCTGAAACCAAGTGTCCTAATTTGTTAACTTTATTAACTGTCCGAGAAGAAGATTTGCCGATGGGACAAAGCCTTTTTGTCTTATTTCAAGAATTGTGGCTTTATTTTCTCATTCCAAGGGAGACATTTCTTGTATCTATTTCAAACAAGATCATGTTGCTTTGTCCCATCGGCAAATCCTATTTTATGGCAGTCAGAATGCGCTCAAATTAAGATAGATTTGCTTCTAAATGCTCCATACAAATGAGAAACAAGAGTAGAAGATGAATGGTGTTGCTTTTGTTTGTCTGCACAATTTTTCTCAAGTCCTGATTTGTGTGTGTGTGTGGTTGTGTGTGTGTTTCAGAAAGAGGAGCGTGTGTCCGAGCTACGGAACCAGCTGTCGGAGCGCCAGGCCCTGCGCTCCCGGAGACGAGCCTCCACCATCACCATCAACCAGAACCACAGCAGCACGCCGCCGCAGCCAATCCGTGACCCCCGCTCGCTGGCCCCGCCCCCCGGCTACCCCGCGCCCACGCTGGACCCGACCACTTTCTCCAGCCCCAACCTGTACCAGGCCGACAGCAAGCTAAACCGCAACAACTGCCACACCACCACCAGCCGCCTGCAGATGCTCTACAAGTGAGACTAAGTGGGAGGACCAGGTGGGACCAGAGCCGGGAGAGGCCAGGTCCCAGCAGAGAGGCCCCTCGCCTCAAACTGTGTGGACTTGTACTGTAGGCCGCTGCCAAAAGGAGACCCCAAACTGTGCTTTTCCTCGCTCAAATATCCCACACTAGCGAGAATCCACCCCGAACAAGTCAGAAATGTGGTTTATCTAAGGACACATGATGCAAAACTAGGTCGATTGAGCGCTTTCAAGTCAAAAAGTGATGAAAAATAAGTCAAAAACTTAATTCAATTTAATCGGTAGTAAAGTAAAATTATCTTGTTTTAAAAAGATGCAAGAAGTGTCTCACCTGAAATGAGAAAATAAATCAACAGTTCTTGAAATAAGACTTTCTCGATTGGAAAATCTTGTTTTTTAACTTTTTTAATTTTTTAAAAGACCACAGCAAAGTTAAAAAAGAACATGCAAAACTTTCGATCTCTTGATGTGCAGAGCTTGTAGAGTCATTCCTCAAAATACTTGCTTCCGTGATTGCAGAGAATAAGGGGTTCCACGCAGTATTAAATCAAGTTGGGTATGGATCATTTTCTGTTTTTTTTATTTTTTTTATTTTTTATCAAAGCCGTAATAAACATAATAATTGTCATTGTCTGCTGCCTTGTCGTGGTCTTTCACAATAACAAAAAAAATCTTTGTTGTGGTCGTAAACATGACAAAATGTGCCACAGTTCAGGTTAAATCAGCAGTTTTACAAGCCGCAGTTAAAACAAAAAATCCCTGAGCGTCTTAAACTTTTCAGCAAAAACGCACAAATTGTCGGAACATTCCAGACGAAGCGCTCTCTTTTTGAACATATATTTGCGTGAACATTTCTGCGATTCAAAGCACAGTCTGGGCTCCTCCTCGTTGGACCGTGGAAGCATTTAGCCGACTATAACTGTAGCCTCAACCTCTGCAGACCAGGGCCGCCCTGTGTGACCATGTTGTGACAAAGTGAGTGGTCGTGTCCAATAGACTATCTTTGTCGCATTAGCTCCTGTGTGTTTCTATGGTGGTCTTTTTTCTATCCTGGATTCTCCCCCGTCTCTGTTTTAAGGAGACGTACAGACCTGGATTATTCCAAGGAACTTTTCAACGACAACAAAAACTGTTTTCAAGAGCGACCTGCGGGGATTGGGCAAGAATTCAGAATGTGCCGATTTGATTGGTTGAAAAGAAAGTCTGACAGAGCAACATTTCGCATTCATTTTGGATTTTTTTATTGTTCAAAAAGTAGCATTGAAAACACAAAAAATCAAGATGCGGTACACTATGCCTATTGCGGGCTTGTTGTCGTAATTTGTGAAAAGAAATATTCGCAAAAATTACATATTTATTGGTCTAAATCTGTCCAAATGCTGTGAACTGAGCAGCTACTGTCTTCAACTTTGTTTAAGCAACTCCAGTCCTCTCCGGTGTATTTTTTTTCTTCTTACAATGAACTGCTTTGTTTCCAGTTGCACACACACAGACTGAGATCTCCAAAAGAGAAGCAGCAAAAATCCATCACAAGCACTTTTGTTTCTTGCAGAGGGGGAAAAAAAGGGAACAGGTTCTAGAGCGTAGAGTGAGCTCAGAGTTCAGGAAAACCCTTGAAGTTGCAAAAAAAGTAGGAAATGCGTTGCCAATGATTCCAACTTCTCAAATATCAGTATTTACAAGTTCACAAATGCGTCATCTGTGAAACGAGTGCTTTTCAAACAACGTGCTGTGACGACGGGACCGGCGTGTTGCGTCTCTGTGGATATTTCATTGGGCAATTCTCAATTTTTTAACTCCTTTTCTGCTGTGTGCACATATTGAGTCATTTTGAGCGGCTTTTACAATTGGTCAACAATTTATTTCATTCCAAACGGGATATAAACCCTGCACAAATGAATTAAGCTGTGCACTTTTGGTGAACAAAGCACATATTTAAACATTTATTATATTTCTTTATAATGAAGATGCTTTGCAGATTCTAGATTCACGACAAGAGAAAACCGCAGTAGTTTCCTATGTCAGTGTTTCCCAACCAGGGGTACCGCTATTGGGGTTTTATAACACAATAATAAATATCACATAATAAGTCGTGTTTATCTTAATTTTAGGACATTCTGAGATTTGCCAACGGGACAATCCATTTAGTCTGATTTCCAAAACTGTTAAATTTTTTAATTTCATTTTTGTGTAAATCTTTTTTTAAGGCAGTCAAAATGTGCTCAAATAGAGGTGCATTTCACCAAATTTGAGCGATTTTTAACGTGTTTTTCATAAAAAAATCATCAATAGTAAAGATAAAGCTTAAATTCTCTCATAAAAGCAGAAATGTTGTTTATTTAGATTATAATGATTCCTGGTCTGTCAGCCGCAAAAAACTAAATATTGTTTTACTTTTTGGTTCAGTTCAAGCACAAGCTCAGTTTGTTAATGTAATAAAAGCATTTATCAGAAAAGGAATTTAAAAATCCTCTGTAAAAGCAAGCAGGAAAATGTATTTAATAACTACTTTTTTCAAATATATTTCCATTTTTCTACAGCTTTTATATTCGTCCCCAGATGCCAGGTCACTTGTACTAATCACATTTGACTGACACATTATAAGCTACAGTTATTTCTCCAGTGTGTACACTTCAAAAAGCGGTGGAAAATAAGTCCAAAATGTATCAATTTTGGCAAAAGGCAACTATATCTGAGCACTGCCTAAACAATCCATGTATTGACACAGAAGAAGTCACAAAGTTAAGACCAAAAATAAGCAGCGTAATTACATTTCCAAAACTAAAAGCTGTGGGACTTCCAGTGTCTCTGAACAAGATTGACATTCTGACCCCTGATTTACAAATATATGTTTCTGCCATTAACTTGTTTCAAATTAGAATACATGGATATGTGCTTTTGTTCCAACACAAAGAGTCACAGTTCCTAAAAAACAAATGCTGAAAATGGAAAAGTACTTGTTCTCTTGCTCATCCCCTTTGTTTGACATTTCTAAATATTTATGGTTATACACAAGCGATAAAAAACGGACATTACTTTTCCGTTAACGACATAAGAATTAGATTTAAAGGAGAAAACCCACCCGCCCTCGATCTCAGCGTATTATTAGGCAGCAGGATAAAATAGTTCTAAGTAGTTTTCTAATACAGGGGTGTCCAAGACCTATTGCGTCCAGGACCAAATGCTGAAGAGCAGGTGTAGGGCCGGACAGAGACGTAAACAAAAAAAACGGTCACAAAAGTTCTAGATGAAACAGATCTAAGCTTAAAGGGAACATATCATGATTTTCACCGCTTCTGATCATGTGATAGTTGTCGTTTACACTCTCAAAGTTGGTTCCACAGGCATTTTGACCCAGAAAAACATTTTGTATCGCTAACTTTATAACGTCAAAAGCGCGACAATTCTGCATATTTCTCTTTTAACAACAGACTCCCGGAGCAGTACAAGTTTAGTCCTCGTAACCTCATAAGTTGTTTATTCCTAAGTATTATTTTCATAAAAATTTTGAAATGTGAGGTTTTCTCCCTTATATTCCAAATGCTAGTTACCATAGCAACATACTGTTTACTTGCTAGCAGTAAGAATTTACCCTTTTAACAAGCCTTTTGCCTGTTTTTCAAGTAATAGTCACCAGTTTTAGCTCTTGAACTGATGGAAAACCTTTCAGACGACTGTTGATTTGAATGGTTTGACGGCTCTGGTAGTTCTTCACTGCAAAAAGTATTGAAATAAGTCAAAAACTTCTCAAATGTTGTTAAATGTATCTTCATTTAAACACATTTTGACTTCCTTAAAACAAGATTTGCCAATGGGACAGGCAAAAGTATCTTATTTTAGATTCAAGAAATGTCCCCGTGGAATGAAAAAATAAAGAAACAGTTGAAATAAGACTAAATGGCTTTGTCCCTTTGGCAAATCTTGTTTTAACACACAGAATGTCCTCAAAATAAGAGAAAAATACACTTGATTTTATTGTTTTTTGCAGTTTGTAAGTTTCCGAACTCTGGGGGTCCTTGTGTTCTCCAAAAGGTATAAAACATATTACTGTATCTCCGACTCATTCCACATCTCACCTCTTCGCTCCGAGTTTCGCCCTGGACTTCACTGTGGGACATTAGCCGCTGTGGTAGCACCTGAAGGCTCATTTTTCTGGACTAAACAAATTGGCGTTTTTGTGCATCGTGTCAAAGCTGTAAATATGTGTGTGCGTATGTGAGCGTGTGTGTGTGTGTGTGTGTGTGTGTGTGTGAGTCCGGGATCAGAGGAACACCGTCGACTTGTACATACGGGCCGTTAGCGTGTGTATTTCATGTGGAACTGTACTAAATTATATTTCTATATGAGGACGTGTCCCAGACTGAAGATATGAAATGCAACAGTTATGAATAAATCTTGTTGTTATGATTTGACGATGTGTTTTTTAATTGTCTGGAGTGTGAAGTTTTAAGATTAAGCGATCCTTGATTTGTCAGACAGTGGGGACATTTCAGTGTTGCATCACCTGAGGGTTAGGGGTGAGCAATAACTGAAAAAAAAACTACACTAGAAATTAAGCAACAACATCACTAACTTTAGCATAATAAAGAAGCAAGTATGGACTTTCAAGCTTTAGCATAATAAAGAAGAAAATATAGAATCTCTAACTTTAGCATAATAAAGAAGCAAGAAGAAAATCTCCAACTTTCGATTCAAGATTCAATCATGTATTGTCATTGTCTCAAAAAAAACAGAATTACATTTAGAGCATCGCTGTGATCATAGATTATATGAAGTGCAGAGGTTGGCAGGACGTAAACAGCACCGGGCTCTGAGAGGTAGATTAGCAGAACATTAACAGGATGTAAGTGAGTTTGTTAGCTGCAGCAATGCTCGAGCAGTTCACAGGTATGGCAGGTATATGTAAAAGTAGAGGGTTATGGGGGTCCGGGGGGGTGAGAAGGGGGGCAGTGTTCAATGAACAGTCTGATTGCCTTGGGGAAACAGCTGATGGCCATTGTGCTGGTTTGGAGCATGGGGTGACCTGTACCTCCGGCCCGAGGGCAGCAGGTGGAGCAGTCTATGTGCTGGATGGGGGTGGTGTCTGATGATGTTGTGACAGCGGGGCAGGCAGCGGGAGGTGAACACACTGGAGATCTCTGGGAGAGGAGCTCCAATGATCTTCTCAGCAGTTTTCATCACCCTCTGGATCGCCTGCTTCTCGGCATTTGTGCAGCTGGAGAACTACACGAGCAGACCACACGCAAGCACACTCCGAATGGTACAGTTATAAAAGTTTATCATGAACCTCTGATGGAGATGGACCAGGAGAGGTACTCAGACACGGTCAAGCCCAGGAAATTAAAGGGATCTCTTTCCACCACCGTCTACAGACAGAGGTAGATGTTGGTCTTTTTTATATTTAGAACCAGGTTGTGGCTCCTACACCAACCAGAAAGCAGACCAACCTCCCCCCTGTATGCAGACGCATTGTTACAGATGAGTCCATGCACAGTTGTGTCATCTGCAAATGTTATGATGTTCTTTGTGAGAAAGAGAGCGGAGCAGTCGTGTGTGTAGAGCGTGTAGCAGCAGTGGGCTCAGCACTCACCCTTGGGGAGCGCCGGTGTTATGTGGATGGTGGAGGAATTGTGCTCACCAGCTTTGACACACTGAGAGCGGTTGGTTTAAAAGTCCAGTCCAGCACTTTAGGTAGAAGTGCCAAATCTCCACGGGAGTTCTAGTGTTAAACACCGTCAGAGAAGAGGCCTGTCTCACATCTTCAGGAAGGTTGTTCCAGATTTTAGCAGCATGAGTCTGATATTCAGCCTCCCCATGTTTAGTTCTGACTCTGGGCACTAACAGGAGTCCTGTCCCTGTGCTCCTCAGAGTCCGGCTCGGTTCATTTGGGACTAATATGTCACTAATGTACTTTGGTGCGAGGCCATGGAGAGACTTGTACACAAGCAGAGCTGTTTTAAAGTCTATTCTCTGAGCCACAGGAAGCCAGTGCAGAGACCTGAGGACTGGACTAATGTGGTCGTACTTCCTGGTTCTAGTCAGGACTCGAGCTGCTGCATTTTGAATGTACTGCAGCTGTTTTACAGCCTGTTTGGACAGACCTGTGAGCAGGCCATTGCGATAAGATAAGATAAGATAGACTTTATTTATCTCACACATGGATAGAAACACTCAAGATTGTGCACAAAAAGAAATGTGCAAACATGTTAAATGCAGGATATATTATGTACAATAAAAAGTGGCAATCAAAGAAACAGTGTCAATAGTAGTGCAGGTTTTTCAGTTCTGATGCAAGTGACTTAAAGTGACTTATTGTACAGTCTGACAGCAGTGGGGATAAAGGCCCTGCGGTAGCGCTCCTTCTTGCACTGATGGTGTCTCATGGTGCTTTCAGACCGGATCATGCGTTGCGTCGGGTTTCAATGCAAAGTCTATGGTGGCGCGCGTTCGACCGTCACAACGCACGGACCTCTCGGCACGCACGGACGGACTGTTCAATAATGACGCACGGACTTGGCGGGAAAGTGAAAAGGGAGGAGCAGGAGCGACAGACAGGAAGCAGCGAGTGCATCTGGGGAAGAATGTCCCGGACTCTCGGATTATAAATACAGGAGCCCCACAGGGCTGTGTTCTTTCTCCCCTGCTCTTCTCCCTGTACACCAACCACTGCACCTCCAGTCACGACTCCGTGAAGCTGATCAAGTTCGCGGACGACACCACCCTCATTGGACTCATCTCCAACAACGATGAGTCCGCCTACAGGAGGGAGGTGGACCGGCTGGTGTCCTGGTGCTGTGGTAACAACCTGGAGCTGAACGCCCAGAAGACAGTGGAGATGATTGTGGACTTCAGGAAGAGCACTGTCCCCCCGCCCCCACCCTCCGTGATGGACTCCCCCATCACCTCTGTGGAGTCCTTCCGTTTCCTGGGCACCACCATCACCCAGGACCTCAAGTGGGAGCCGACCATCAGCTCCCTCATCAAGAAGGCCCAGCAGAGGATGTACTTCCTGCGGCAGCTCAGGAAAGCCAAGCTGCCTGCACAGATGTTGGTGCAGTTCTACACGGCCATCATCGAGTCCATCCTCACCTCCTCCGTCACCGTGTGGTTCGCTGGAGCCACAGTCAGGGACAAACAGAGACTACAGCGCATTGTGCGCTCTGCAGAGGAAGTGATCGGCCGCAGCCTTCCATCGCTGCAGGACCTATACGTCGCCCGAGCTCAAGGCCGGGCTGGTCGTATCACAGCCGACCCCTCTCACCCTGCACATGGACTATTCCAACCACTCCCCTCAGGCAGGAGGCTGCGGTCCATCAGGACTAGAACCTCCCGCCACAAGAACAGTTTCTTCCCCTCTGCTGTTGGACTTTTGAACACTTCTTAACCTGTCCCCCCGCCCTTTATAAAGTCACTTTACTGCCCATCATACGTCACTTTACTTCACTGTACTGCTGTCACCTTACATTGTGTGCACCATGTGCACTTGTATATTGTAAATAGTAACTGTAACTCTATTTTAAATTTAAATTTATTCCTTAGAAGTGTTTTTTATTCTTTATTTTTATTATCTCTTTCGGACTGTTGCACTGAGCCAAAGCAATTTCCAAGTCTGTGACTTCCTGTTACTTACGTGGCAATAAAAATGATTCTGATTCTGATTCTGAATTTTTTTATCCACTCACTGATCTGTTGGATACAGTGAAGCAGTGAGTTTTGGTTTCAGTTTCAGTTTCGGTTTTCAGTGTCACTATGTCCACTGGTCCATGTTCTCCTACAGTAAGTGAGACATAGATCTGTCGTCTGCATAGTTATGATAGGACACTATCACATAAAGGGGCACTAATGTATGAATATAGTTTTTTCTATCAGTGAAACATAATTGAATCTGCAGCTACGCCGAGGCATTTTGGCACAAGGGAAACACCACTGCTACTCTGTCATGACATCTCATTTCTGTACTTATGCTGTTTTTGAATTTGTTGACGTTTTCAGATCAGATGAAAAGCATATTCTAGCTCTATGTTATTTGTTCTTAAAAAGTCTCTAAGTAAAAGCTCTAAGTGCGAGTCGTGAGCAAACAGCTGGAGCATGACATCATCAGTGTGATGTCATCTCTCACTGTGAGGCTGGTTCCTCTTTTGTTCCACGCAGCAGGAAGTCACCCACTGGTCATGATCTCTCGAGGGTATTGTTAGACCGCAGAGTGTTGCCATAAAAGAAGAAGGAAAGTTTCAAAGTGTAGTTTCAAAATGAAAGATGTTCAACATCTTTTATCCACATCTGGAAAACACTTGAATTTGAGATGAACCAGAGCGTCTGATGCATGAGGTTGTGTGTTGGGAACATTGCTGTAAACAGAATGCTCTTTATGAAACTGATGCAGTGATGTGTCTCGGTGCAGGGCGAGGTCAGAGGCTGCAGACGGCTCTGGACTGGACTGGACTGGACTGGACTGGACTGGATTTACTGAGTGTAAAAAGTGCTTCATTAATGTCATGCAACATACAGAACTGTGGATGTAACACATTGTTTTATTATTGTAAAACATCATTCAAATTCTTAATCATATCAAAAACAATTTTGTCATAAAAATAAAATAGACCATATGAACAAATAAATACATTCAGTTTTAAATAAAAAATATAGTTTTAAATATATAAATATAGTTTTAAATATAAATAAATAACATCAATAAATACAGTTGTAAACATTTGTTGTGTTTTAACAGTCTGTAGTGAGTGCAGTATGGGACCCGCTCCTGACCTCAGGGGCCGGTCTCCTTCTCCAGGGTGTGTCCAGGGCTCACAGAGCAAAGACCCCAAAGAAGGTCTCCCCATGGCCATCCTCCACCTGTCCCCGCAGCAGAGGGTCGGGGCTGAGCACAGTACGGAGGCGGTCATTCGCCTTCAGGTTAAACATGGCCCCCACATAGAGCCCAGAGAAGCTGTGTGCGCCCTGGACCTGGTCCTGGTCCTGGTCCTGGTCTTGGGTCCCTCTCACACAGGCGGTCCTCAGCGTGTGGAGGATGGGCCTGTACTCCTGCTCGGTCTCGTCTCCGCTGCCGTAAGAGTCGGACCAGCGCTCCACAGAGTGGCTGAGCTGCACAGGGTGCGGGGGCTCCTCGGGGCCCTTCCTGCAGCTGATGCGGTACGAGGCCTGGCTGTAGACGAAGTACAGACCGTCATGAGGTACTACGATTTCATTTTTCTCCAAACGCAGACCCCCCTCAGAGTGCGCCTGGTCCACCCCTGCATTCCACTGCAGCGTCTTGGAGACCGCGTTGTATACACCTGGAGCATACACACACACACACACAGAGACACACACAATGTTAGCTCAACTTCACACAGTCAAAATACCTACACCACACTCAGGGGTCACACACCACAGTCCTCCATGTCCTGTATCTCCTGTAGTAACCCTACACATAATAATGCATCGCTTTTATATAGCGCTTCTTTGGACACGCAGAGACACTTCATGTGTCGTTGTTCAATCACCAAACACGGCGGTGATAATCTGCTGTAGCCACAGCTGCCCTAACCAGGTCCTGCCATGCTTAGCTTCAGATGTCTGACAGTCTGGCTTTTCACATGCAGGTGGCACCACTCCTGTATTTAGTGGTTTTCACCTTAAAACATTGTACTCTTGAACTCTTTCAGTGGTGAAGTGCTGTGGGTGGAGTCAATTAGGACCAAAAAAACCGTTATAGTCTTTGTGGCATTCATAGGTTTTCAACCCATCACTGGCAAACTAAATAATGCATAGAGTCTGAATCACACTGTGCCAAATGAGATTGCTCACTCAACTTTCCAAATATAACAGTTAATAATAATTAACGAGTATTACAATAATTAATCAAGGAGAAAGGCTTATGTTTCCAGCTCTCCATTGTGTTGTTTTAGTCACAGTCAAAACTGTGATTAAAATGACACAAGTGACTTCTGTTGTGTGACTGTGTGTAGTTTTAACTTACCAACGAGATGGATGGCTGCCCTGACGCTGGTCTGCCTCAGCGAGAGTCTCAGCTCTGGAAAACCAAAACAACATTCATTAATATCAATATTTGAACATTTTACTACAAAGTATATTAACATGAAGAATATTCAAATCCAGCATGTTCACTTGTGATATCAATAAACACGACAATACAACACAGCTTTTCTGTAATTACCTGTTATAGCCATTTCATATACTCTTGATATATTGTTACGTGGTATTTGACCTGACGTTCATTAGCCGTGATGTCATTGTCTATTATTAATTTTGGGTTTGTGTATTTTAAATGTATTTAAACGTTGTATTTTAACGTTGTATTTTCACTGTCTCTAAAGGCACTTGTGATGTAAGCCGACCATGAACATCTAGAAAGGCACGTAAGATAAGATAAGATAAGATAAGATAAACCTTTATTAGTCTCACAGTGGAGAAATTTCAGTGTCAACGTTGCACATTACAGCAGAGAAAGGAAATAAGAGCACTCAGATTGCACACATCAAAGTCTATTGTTAAAGATAATAGACAATAAATTTAAGATAAAATAAAATAAAATAAAATAAGAAACTCTGGGCTATAATTGCACTTGGTTCGGAGTATTTACAGATGTCTATATTATACATTAGCAGCAGAGAATATGAGAATATGAATATGAGCAGAATAAACATCAGAAATAATATCAACAGGTAAAGTGACTTGAATGGGCGAATTATCAGATGGATATGAATAATACAGTAAGATATCAACAGGTAAAGTGACGGTGAAAGGCAGAATTATCAGATATGAAATAATACAGTAGTACTGATAACAGTAAATATCAGATATGTAGTACTGTAGTAGTACTGATAACAGGTAAAGTGACTAGTGACAAAGTTACTAGTGAATTATCAGAAACACTTGTGCAGACTCAGCAGATCCTGTTACACATTCACACTCTCGTAAGAAATGCAATGTATTATTATTGTTATTAATATTATTCTGATTTATTTGCATTTCACCACACAAATCCAGTGGGTGTATTTGCCACTACTTATTGCCATAGAGATTACATCAATATCAACAAATATTTATACAGTGGTTTGTAAAAAGTCTTTAAAAAGTGTCAATTTGTACATATTGTCTTACCTTCCAAATGTCCATCCTCCTGTTTTGTTGCCTGAAGGAACCAGACAAGCACACACACTGGTTACATTTTATCACATCGCTATAACAACTATTGTATTTATTTATTTCACAGCAAAAATCTCACCTGAAATTGTGGATTTATGATCAAAACAGTGGCAGCGCATCCCACCAGTGTCAAGGTGCAGAGCAGAACCAAAGCGGTCTTAGAGCAGCGACAACCTTTCACTCGTGAGATCTCTTTCTCCTCCACTTGAACCCTGCACTCCGGCTGCATATCCGTGGACATAACGTTGTTTTCTGTGTTTGTTTGAGTTCCAGAGAGGTGCGAGGCCTTTTTAAACCTGAGCCAGAGTCGAGGGGAAATCCACGGTGATGTCACAGAAGAGGAAGTGACGCTTCCAGCTGCAACAAGTGACTCCACAATACGAAGGTGGTGCTAAATATAGATACCAAGGGAATTTTGAGGGAAAAATGTTATCAATAAAATATTCAAAGTTTGTTTTAGTTTATTCAGAGATTCCTTAAGGCGTTTTGGATTGAATGGTTGCCTTTCTTTGGAGGTATTCAGCTCAGAGTTTAGAGTTATGTGAACTTTTGTGCACCCGGATCTGCAAACTGGGACATGATGGACATTATGGATATGTTGGACATGATGGACATGATGGACATTATGGACATTATGGACATTATGGACATGATGGACATGATGGACATGATGGACATGATGGACATGATGGACATGTTGGACATGTTGGACATTATGGACATGATGGACATGATGGACATTATGGACATTATGGACATTATGGACATGATGGACATGATGGACATTATGGACATTATGGACATTATGGACATTACTGACATTACGGACATGATGGACATGTTGGACATTATGGACATGATGGACATGATGGACATTATGGACATTATGGACATTATGGACATTATGGACATGATGGACATGATGGACATGATGGACATTATGGACATTATGGACATGATGGACATGATGGACATTATGGACATTATGGACATTATGGACATTACTGACATTACGGACATGATGGACATGTTGGACATGATGGACATGATGGACATTATGGACATTATGGACATGTTGGACATGATGGACATTATGGACATGATGGACATGATGGACATTATGGACATTATGGACATGATGGACATGATGGACATTATGGACATTATGGACATTACTGACATTACGGACATGATGGACATGTTGGACATTATGGACATGATGGACATGATGGACTTATGGACATTATGGACATTATGGACATGATGGACATGATGGACATGATGGACATGATGGACATTATGGACATTATGGACATGATGGACATGATGGACATTATGGACATTATGGACATTACTGACATTACGGACATGATGGACATGATGGACATTATGGACATTATGGACATGTTGGACATGATGGACATTATGGACATGATGGACATGATGGACATTATGGACATTATGGACATTATGGACATGTTGGACATGATGGACATGATGGACATTATGGACATTATGGACATGTTGGACATTATGGACATGTTGGACATTATGGACATTATGGACATTATGGACATGTTGGACATTATGGACATGTTGGACATTATGGACATGATGGACATGTTGGACATGATGGACATGTTGGACATGATGGACATTATGGACATGATGGACATGATGGACATTATGGACATGTTGGACATGATGGACATTATGGACATGATGGACATTATGGACATGTTGGACATTATGGACATTATGGACATGATGGACATGATGGACATTATGGACATTATGGACATGTTGGACATTATGGACATGATGGACATTATGGACATGTGTTGGACATTATGGACATGATGGACATGATGGACATTATGAACATGATGGACATTATGGACATGATGGACATGTTGGACATTATGAACATGATGGACATTATGGACATGATGGACATTATGGACATTATGGACATGTTGGACATTATGGACATGATGGACATGATGGACATTATGGACATGATGGACATTATGGACATTATGGACATGATGGACATTATGGACATGATGGACATTATGGACATTATGGATATGTTGGACATGATGGACATTATGGACATGATGGAAGGGTGGTTTGTCGCTTTTTGATCCTTCGATGTCGGCTCTTCCTATCATTGTGAAGCAGATTGCCAGGATCAAAAAGTGTCTAAAGCAGACTTGGAGATTCTTATCCATGCATTTGTCTCCAGTAGGTTAGACCTGTGGTTCCCAAAGTGGGGGTCCTGACCCCCCGGGGGGTCGCAGGAACCCCTAGGGGGGTCGCAAGATGATTTCTACACAAACAAAAAAAAAATTATTTTTTTTTTGAGCAAATATAAAGCCCTTAAATATTTATTTAGCATTTGATTTGATTCAAAAGGACTACTTGTTAAATTGTGTTTGGAGACTATAATATATTTTAATAACGTTAGTAATTTTGTCCCAGTCATTGCAGCGTCAATCAAAATCATCACGTAACACAGCTCACATCATGCGCAGCGACAAAGCGTGTCCTGCGGTTGTTTGCTAAAACTAAAGGTGTTTGGAGGCTACAAATAAATAATACCTGCTTTAAAATGAAACGTGGTTAATATCCACAACAGAAAAACCCGGAGGGGGAGAAAAGTCACTTGTTTCAGGGGTCAGGCTGATGGTGCGAAGAGAGGGAGAGAGGGCAGCGGAGGGAGGGAGGACAGCGGTAGTCAAAGGTAAAGAGGTCCGCACATTAAAAGCGGGTGGCCGGTTTACGCCTTTACTGACAGTAACTCTGGAAAGAGAAGCCGCGGGGATGAACTGCATAAAGTAACAGCAGAAAGCGGCCGCCCGCAAGAAATGCGCTCCACTTCTGCTGAGGAGGGAGCCCACCAAGCCCACAGTGCAGCAGCTCGAGTCCTGACTAGAACCAGGAAGTACGACCACATTAGTCCAGTCCTCAGGTCTCTGCACTGGCTTCCTGTGGCTCAGAGAATAGACTTTAAAACAGCTCTGCTTGTGTACAAGTCTCTCCATGGCCTCGCACCAAAATATATTAGTGACATGTTAGTCCCATATGAACCAGCCCGGACTCTGAGGAGCACAGGGACTGGACTCCTGTTAGTGCCCAGAGTCAGAACTAAACATGGGGAGGCTGCTTTTCAGATTCATGCTGCTAAAATCTGGAACAATCTTCCTGAAGATGTGAGACAGGCCTCCTCTCTGACAATGTTTAAAACCAGGTTAAAAACAGTTCTGTTTAGCTGTGCATACAACTGAGGGATTTTATATTTTTATCTTTCTTTTTAATGTTCTGTGATTATTTATGATTTTAATGCTTTCTTGTTTTGTTCAGCACTTTGAGTTGCCTTGTGTATGAATTGTGCTATACAAATAAACTTGCCTTGCCTTTGTACAGTTGAGATATTGTTTGTGTTTACTGGGCCTTTTAAATGAAGAAATATTTAATTCAATTTATTTATCTCTATCCATAATTCACAGAAAAATGTATCCGAATTTTATAAAGTTGCCGAATTGCCAACACAGATCAGAGAAACAAACAGTTCAAACACAGGCACCACACTGAGCCGTTGATCCATAAGGGACGAATGAGCAATGTCCATAAATGTTAATAAATATTTAGTAATTATGTATTATTTTTGAACATTTAAAATTATAATGAGACTATTTACTTTGTCATTTCAGGTTTTATAATGTGAAATGATATCTCAAGTCAAATATGTAGAATGAAGTGTAAAAAAGGCAATCCGTTTGTAATTCCGTTTGCTACCAACAGAAGGAGGAGTAGAATTTGAAAACTACCGTCTGCAAACTCAGCTGTGTTTGTAAAGAAGGTCATTTCAACAGAGAAATTGATAAATGTGATGTCACAGTGGTGCTTTGACATTTTACTAGTGCAGCAGGTGAGAAGCACTCTCGGTTCTTAGCAAGACAGTCTTGGGTTCGATTCCACCTCTGGAAAGGCCTTTCGCAGTCGAGTTTGCTTGTTCTCCCTCTGTCTGCATAGAATTCCTCCTGTGCTCTGGTTTCCCCTACCTCTACAAACATTTATAATCTGTAAAAATCCTCCAGCTCTGATCCTGAGCAAGCAGAGGTCAAATACCGCATGAGGATAAATAGATCGTACCATACTATAACAGGACTTTTAGAAGAAGCGGCTGAGTTTTACTTGTATGCTATAAATTCCTGATATTAGCGTGGATGGATATAAAAACAACTCCAGGTCGGTGACTGATGAGGAACAATGTTGTAACGATGTCCAAAATGTCATGTTGTATCTCAAACTGAGCTGTCTTTCATGTTCTTATTGTTTTCAGTTGTCATTAATCCACTGAAGGTGCCGTTCTGCTGCTATGTCTGCACTTTGTTGTGACATTCTGTAAAGTGCCAAGGACAAATCGTCAGGGACATTCTCAGAATGGAAGTTAGTGACTTTGTTGATTCTAAGTATGTCACGATCATGGGTTTTACTGCGAAGTTTAAACAACTCACTCACCGCCTCATGATGTAATCAAGTGTTTGCATTTGTTTTTGAAATGAGTGAATAAGTGGTGAATTTGATTCCAATCCAAAAAGATACTTGCAGATTTTAGACTAATGCATCTCTCTTCTGGTATGAATGTTTTATGAATCAATAAAACACATACACACACAGATACACGCAAGAACACACACGCACACACACACTGTTTTTCTTCCTACACACTGCTAATTTACACAGGAGGCGTTACAGCACGTACGTGTTATACGCGCAGCAGACGCGCGTAACTTTTTTCCATGTTAACCTATGATGATATTTACACTTCTAGCGTTATACGCGCGTATGACGGACGTACTGACGCGAAGCTGCGCTCTAATTGGATGGATTTCTAATTTTGTGCGCGCACCAACGCGTCTCCCATTGAAATCTCATGTAAAACATGATTTTTCTAGCGGTCCTTGGCTCTAGATCGCATCTGCACACACACACAGCACTTGTGTCTAAACATCAGGAGCAGCAGGTTTTACAGTGATTCTGGACATCGGTTTTTTTCTTTCATAAAGTCTTGCATCTGGCCAAACCAGCGCACAGAGACCATGAGGCCAAACACATACATTTGATTTGTTTTGCTCTATATCAGTCCTCTGGCCCGTACTGTCCTCTACACTGCTCCATAGACTACACAGGGAGAGCAACAGAAGCTTCAGACCTGCGCGC